GCCTTGTTCGTATCGAGGCACAGATCAGACTCTCTTTCGTCCCACAACAATATTTTCTCTCTGTGTTCCCGATCGAAAAAGCTTACGTACACATGGCGCATTGGAATATTGAGAGACCTTACTCATGTTGGCGTGCGTGGCAATATGTTTACCGTAATTGAGTTGCTTGTCAATCGAACATTCCGTGTCCGAGTGGGTAGTGCCTTCTCCCAAACATTTGTCCAGAAACAGAGTGCTGCAGGTGGTGCACGTAGCTGCACACTTTTTATTATCAAAACGAATTCTTTGCACTTGGCCATCCCTCGAAATTTGTTTTGCTGCACATATCGATGACATACAGCTTGGTTTTAAGTCTTGTAATCGGCCATGTGTGAGCAGTAGGCTCAGCTTTCTTTGAACAAAGTCTCCAATTGGGCACAAGAAAACGGGTTCTGACTGAATGCAAAGAAAAGCAAGTGTGTCTTGTTCTCCAGGAAGAGAGGTATTCATTTCGAACCCGATATTCAACTGCATGGACAGCGTCTTTCTGTTCATACTGAACACAAATTCCTAGTCCTAATCTTGAACGCCAAGCTAACATTCAACCGCACATCAAGTATTTAAAAAACAAGTGCATAAAAGCCCTGAATGTTCTAAAGTGTTGTCATGCAGTATGTGGGGAAGTGACAAGAAGTGCCTGATCAATTTCTATACAAGCCTCATAGGTACTCGCCTTGATTATGGGCAATAGCATATCAGTCTGCGACACCTGCTGCCCTTAAAATGCTTGACCCTGCTCATCATCTGGACATCCGCATCTATACGAGTGCTCTTTGCACTAGCCCCGTGGAGAGCCTGTACGTGGAATCGTGCGGATGGTCGCTCCACCTATAGAGATGTTACCTGTCTTTTCAATATTATCTTAAAGTGAATGCAGACAAGCAACATCCTTTAAATTCTACAATTAATTCTTTGTCAGGCCTTGCTGTGTTTGAGAAACGACCTTCTATGAGACAGCCGTACTCACTCCGTGTGAGGGCCTAGCGAAGGAAACCGGTGTGCCACTTGAACACCGTTTGATGGCTCCTGCAGAATGCCGGCCGCCATGGCAGTGGCAGGCGATAGATTGCGACGTGCCTTTCTTGGAGGTTACGAAGCACGCACCAATTGCACATATTCAGGCATACTTCTTAGAGCTACAACTGAAATACACATGTCCCGATGACTAAAGACCAACACTTCTGTCTCGTACGCAGCCGTTGGCCCATCCTTTTCGGAAGCCGGGGATCTGCACCCTGTTACAAGCATTTTCAGCGGCAAGCTTAGGCGATACTTGCGGCTATTAAACACATTAAAAAATAAAACTACAGAAAGCATTAATGTACACAGATTCCCTGAGCGAAGTAAAAGCTCTGAAAACTTTTAAAAGTGCAAAAACCCTGTTCTTGTCTCGCTTTATTCGTTTTTATGCACAGTCTACTCATCCAAGCAGCATGTTGTAGCCTGCTGGGTTCCAGGGCACCGCGAAATACAAGGCAACGTTCTGGTAGACCAGCTAGCTGAATCTGCCAACAAAACCACTACTAATACAGTCAAACCTCAATATATCGAACACGGATATATAGAATTATTGCCTATATCAAACGGTTCCTATATCACGCGGGAAATCGCATGCATTATTGATTTTTTATTTCGAACAATGTTGACATATAATGGATATATCGAACTCAGCCACCCCAAACCGCCCGCGCTCCATTGACAGGCCGCGAGCTTTTGAAAGTAGCGGTAGAGCGGCGGGCGTTTACGAATACTGCACACTTCGATGGCGCCGAGAGCGCCACTTTAACGTAGCGGCGTATGCGCGCCGCAGCCTTGAAGCTTGCAGTCGTTGCAGTCTCTATGGTGTCAACGGCACACTGCGCACTTGTTGCAAGCTCCTCTTCCGTAGCATCGGCAGGCATCGGTTGTTGTGCTCGCAGTGTTCGTGTGTTCGGAGTTAGGCCTGTCGCTCGCTGTGGTGTGTAGTGATGGCTGCAAACGCGAAGAAACGGAAGACCCTGCCTTTTGCTGCAAAACTGGAAGCAATACAGCACGTAGAGAATGGCGAGAAGTCGAGCGTTGCGGATGAGTTACGCATACCAAGGAGCACATTGAGTACCCTGCTCAAAAACAAAAGCCACATAAAGGCCAAGGCCAAGAAGAGCCAGCACTCGGGCGCGCATCGTGTACGCAAAGTTGCTTTTGAAGATGTTGAAAAATCGCTTCACAAGTGGTTCATCGATGCAAGGGCCCGAAATATTCCTGTATCAGGACCGATGTTGCATCAGAAGGCAAGGAACTTTGCATTCATTCTCGGCGCCGAGGATTTCAGTGCTAGTAGCGGTTAGCTGCAACGTTTTAAGGCTCGCTTCAACATTGTCGGGAAGACTGTGTCGGGAGAGAGTGAGGACGCCAATGACGAAGAAATTCAGAAGTGGCTTGATCACGGGTGACCCGAAGTTCTCGTCAAGTATGAGCCGAAGCACATCTTTAATGCTGACGAGACGGGCCTATTCTGGCAAATGCTTCCGCGGCAAACGCTGGACACTCGCGGGGACAAATGCCACAGAAGCAAGCAAGGCAAGGCCCGTGTGACGGTCCTATTGGCTGCCAATTCAGATGGAAGCACGAAGCTGCGGCCACTTGTAATTAGCAAGTTTAAAAACCCTGAGGTGCATGCGGAACTGCCCTAATATTCCGGTGACTTATGCCTGGAACAAGAAGGCGTGGATGACGAGGGATATTTTCCTCAAGTGGCTGAAGGCCTGGGATTCGGACCTGGCCCGTCAAGGACGGAAGGTATGCCTTATTGTCGATAATTGCACGGCACACCGCACGGACGCCCAGCTGAGCAACATCGAAGTGGTATTCCTGCCGCTTAACCCTACTTCGAAGCTCCAACCGTTGGATCAGGGTATTATCCGCACATTCAAGTCTAACTACAAGCGTCGGCTGATCGACATTCTGCTCGTAAAACTGCGGATCGGCCAAGATCTGAAGATCGATCTCTTTGGAGCCATCCAAATGCTCAAAGCATCGTGGGAAAACGTCAAGCAGTTGATGATAGCTAACTGCTTTCGGCATGCGGGCTTTGGTCGCACTGACGAGGAATCAGTGGAAGAATCCGAGGAAGCTGGGTTGGCATGCGCAGATGAAGAAAGCGAGCTCGCCGAAACGTGGAGCAAGCTGGAGAGGAGAGCTTTGTAGGTGCCGAGCCGCAAAGCATGTGCATCGAAGACTTCGTTGGAGGTGATGACATCACTGGTACAATGTCGGAGCTCATGGATGTGGAGATTGTCGTCGAAGCTACTGCTGAGCAGCCAAATGAAGACACTGCCGAGGTGGATCCCGCAAGCGCTGATGGTGCCCCGCTCCCGACATCAGCTGAGGTTGTAGCTGCCTGCGGCGCGATTGAAGGCACCGGCCTATCACTTATGGATCGCCTGGGCTATATTGAGGACGCAGTCGTCAAACACGCCATGGCCAACAAAAGCTCTTTTTCAATATTTTAAACCAACACAATAAATACTATGTTTGAATCTTCAAGTGAGTATTTACTGCACCACGCTTTAACGGTTCGTTGGTTGTTTTCAGCAAGCTGTTGACGCATTTTTTTCGTGATTTTTTTGTATCGAATTCTGGATATATCGAACTATTTCGCGATCGCCGCGCCGTTCGATATATTGAGATTCGACTGTACATTCATATGAATTCCTGCACTCGACTAGAAACCTTTTATAGAACGAAAGCTCAGTGGTTAATGGCAGTGCACATGGGACACACACAGGTAATAAATTGCATGTCATCAAGCCGCAACTTGGTCATTGGCCGCCAGTATCAAAATCACGCCACACAGAAGTAATACTTACAAGGTTGAGAACAGGACATACATACACTACACATTCATTTACTTTGTCTAGTAGCGATCCACCTTCTTTGTGTGATAGATGTGGAGAAGCACTCACCGTACTTCTTATTTTAGTTCAGTGTAAACAGTTAGACACGCTGAGAAGACAACACTTTCCATTACGTTACCGACAACAGATACAACTTCCTCTAGCAATGTTCGTCGGTAGGGAGCCACTTTTCACGCATAAATCGTTGTTGGCTTTTTTGAGAGAACTTTTTGATGTGCTGATTGTGTTGTAAATGAATGTTGGGTGATTTCTGTAATGGTTATTCAGTTTTTATTCTTTCATACATTGCTTTGTTATGAATATTTTGTATGTATTTCAGAGTTGTCATTCTATTATTTGCTGTCATGGCCACATGCGTGTTTCTTTTTGTATTGTCGCTTTCCGCTGCATGTAATTTTCGTAATATTTGTAAATTTGTAGTTTAGATTTTTTCTGGGTGAAGGGGCCTGTCAAGCTGTGAAATGCAGCTTTTTTCCCTTCGCACCAAACCACGTATACAGTGCATTTTCGTGTACTTGTCACGTGGTTGAATAAACTCAAACTCAAACTACGTACCTTTCATGTAATATACCTGGGCATTCCGTAGTACCACCTCTCCAGAGATGTTTCCACTGCGGTGGCTGCACTGAACAAAGCACTTGCCTCACGGCCCTTGGACGCAAAGGTGTGAACGATCGAGGCTTTTGTGCTGATGCCATATATGTCCACCACAACTTTTAATGTCACAAACTTTCATCATTCATTTACACTACACACATTTCACCACATGGTCATGATTTTAGTACTTCTGTGTTTTTACCTGCCTTAGCACGAGAAATATTAAGGCCCCTATGCAGCTGCTAATCGCAATCATTGTCCACATCTCTAGTCTAATGAACTGGCGCTCTTTGGCCATCAAATGGCCCTCGTGCAAAAAGCACCAAGTATCATCATCAGACATGGCTGTGCAGTGGAACACCTGCTTGACATGTAGACAGTTTCGGTTCGGTCTCTTCTCCGAGCCGGAGATATTTATTTATTTCATTTTCATCTTTCTTGCCGTCTTGGTCACGCAGAAGATAATGATTTTTCACTCACAAGCAACAACGCCGCTGCTGACACCGGTATCGCTGCAAAATGAGCTCACTAACACTATCGCATTAATACTCAACTGCCATGCAAAGAGCCTGGGTTAATGTATTCTTTCCATTCATAGACATTTTGTTCTCACTTCATTTTTTTTTTAATTTCACGTAAGAGCTGTTACAGACACTAGTGCTAGCGGCGCCAGTAAGGGACAGCTAAGGCGCGAAAATTGGCTTTGGTTGGAATTGTAGTGATTTCTTGTATAAGACGCCGATCAGGGAAGGCACAGTTCTATAAAAGTACACTGGATTTATTTACACTATCTACAGGCACTAAAAAAGGCACTTCCAAACATCTCAAGGAAGATATCTGAGCGGGCGTCCAAATGTCTTTATTCGACCACTCTTTCTTTTATGGCGAATTCCACTCATCGAGCGGGAGCAAGCTTTCTTGCTCCGTGGCCGAGAATCTGCATTTCGCTGGTAGATTCGGAGCAAGTTCCTGTGTTCCACTGGCAGATTAGGAGCAACTCACTCCTTGTCGGAGCGTTTGGCGTGCTCCATCTTGCAGAGACGGATTTCCCCGCAACTCCGAGAATGCGTTGCCATCATTTCCAGCACATTTGGGTAGCACTGTTACCTCCAGCTGCCTTGAGCGTTCTTTTTTTTTTTTTTCGAGGCGGTGCCCTCTGCACAGGTGTACATTTCTAAAATGGTATTGTTTGGTGCTGTTGGTTTACTTCTCGCTTTGAGCGACAGCGAGAGCACTAGTAGCAGCAGCGAGGACGAGCTGCACGTGCTTTCCCGCCCCGCCGTGTGCATGGCCGAAGATAATCGGCTATGTCGAAGAAGTTTTCAGGACTCATCTAGTGACGTATGTGTAAACAACTTCCGGTGCGTCCTCAGGCGGGGCATTCAGGTCTTCCACTCGCAGATCTTGCTTGGCGTAATCCGAGTGCTCACTCCAGGATTTCGGCGGCTGCTTCGGATCTACCAGTGGAATTCGCCATTACACTCTCTGCTCTGTCGCTGCTTGTCCCCCCGGAGCACTTTTATTTCGCCCCGTAGGCGCTTCTCTTTCCCCGAACGGGTTCACTGTAGCGGTGTATCAAGAAAGGCTTTGTCGCCGAGTCCCCGTAAACGAAACAAAGATGTGCTGTTCGCAACAGGGATATCATAGCAGCTTTCTTGATAACATATAAGAACCGAAACATCATCACTGTCACCAGAGCCATGGCCGACAGAACGGAGTAGATGCTAAGGCTTATCAATGGCTAGGTCAATGGGCCCGATTTTATTCCTGATATTTATTAACGATCTCCCAATTCATGTATCCTGTAAAATCCGAATGTTTGCTGACGATTGTGTTATTTACCACACTGTTTGTAACGCTTCTGATCAATTAGCTCTACAGAGTGATCCTAACAATGTAAAACAATGGTGCGATGATTGGCTAATGGAACTTAACCCTCACAAATGCAAAGCCTTATCCTTCACCCGCCGCCGTTCTCCACTTGTTTTTCCATATTCCATCAGTAATGTTCCAGTTGAAACTGTTAATTCTTTTAAATATCTGGGGGTCACACTCTGCAACGATCTTTCATGGGGTTTGCATATCACGGAAGTCATATCATCGGCAAACAAAACATTGGGATTCTTGCGACGTCATCTACGTAACGCACCTAGAAATGTAAAATTATTAGCTTACAAAAGCCTTGTTAGAACTAAACTTGAATATGCTTCCCCAATCTGGAGCCCGCAACAGGCCTATCTTGAAGACGCCCTTGAGTGTATTCAAAACCGTGCCGCTAGGTTTATCAATAATTCTTACTCCCATGACGTCAGCGTATCTTTACTAAAGGCAGAACTTCAACTGCCCCTCCTTTCCCTCCGCCGCCGTATCGCCAGTCTTTCGTTATTTCATAAGTTTTTTCACAGCTCGATGCGCATGCCACCTTATTTTGTTCCCCCAGCGTACATCTCTCAACGAACTAATCATCCTCTTCAAGTCGCACGCCCACGTGCACGCACCGTTACTTTTTCAACATCATTTTTTCCTCGCACAGCAGTTGCCTGGAATGGCCTTTCAGGCGACATTCCTGCCATTACTTGTACTTCTACCTTCACAACCAGTATCACTAATCATCTTTCACTTTAGGACAAACGATTGTTTTCTGCTCAATTTTTATGTACCCACCCCTTATGTAAGGCCCCGCAAGGGGTCCTTAAGGAAATAAAATGAAATGAAATGAAAGGTAGTTAGTTGGTGGGTGGAAGCAAAGAATGACATGCACTACTCGTTGTTATCCCGGATACAGTATCTGGATACAGTATCCGTCGCCCTGGTTGACAACATCATTTAATGTTGAAAAGCGAGGTTAAGGCTATGTTACCTTACCTGCTGTTAGACCTGCCCATGCTTTGTCAACTATGCTCAGTTAGAGTGGCCGACATTCCTAGAATTTTTTGCAGCGAAAGCTGCTATGAAATCGCAACTCAAGTCACGCGCAGTTGTCCGCCGCCGTTGTTGCCGGTGTCCATAACCACATCACGTGAAATGAGAAAAAAACCTAGCGCCAATGACATAGTAAGGCTTGAGCCCGGGTCCGCTGGGTGTCAGCCCAGTATTCTACCACGCAGCCACACCAGTGCTTAGGACTGGTTGGCAAACTTGCCTTAGGCAGGCTTGATGTCAGAAAAGCAATCTCGTTAATACGACTTATAAGGCGTTTTAAAACAGCGAAAGAACAACCAGTCGTCACACAATGCGAATAGCATAATGAGTGGGTCGTCGGATGCTCCAACCCATTACAAAAGCTTGTTCTTGTTCCCCTGTTAACTGTGGCACATGCGCACTTCATCCATAATTCATCATCGCCAGCCACTGAATGAACAATTGACACAAAATTCCTTGCAAGTGTTTAGCGGATATACCATGCTTCTCAGAAGAATGGCGAAAAGTAGCATAGCGAATGCCGGCCTACTATCCAAAAATTTTATTAATAATGCCCTAGTGGATAACAAGCACACTTGCTTAAATAACAAGCAAGTGTGTGTCAGTAGTTACACAATGAGTGTTTTGAAAGGCTTTGAAAGGGTGCTCTTCTAGCTTTCGCTGTACTGCCCCTTCCGTGTGGGCGTGGCATTTTTTTGTTGTTTAAGTTTTTTTTTACTTCGCAATAGTGGTCACAGACACTGACGGCGGCAGACAACTACCCCGCTACAA